GGGGGTGGGAGCGGGGCGGGGCGGTGGGACGGGGTCTCAAGTCACGTGTACGGCATCGTGAGCGCTTACGTCTGCCGTCTGCTGCCGTGTTAGATCTCGGGCGGCATGTCGTCGACATCTACACCCAAACAGAGTTTTGTCTCCAACTTAACCTCATGCGACGGAAATGCAGTAAATGGAGCGCAGGGGCCGGTTTTAGCAGATAAAGTAGCCCAGATTAGTAGTGCCTTGTAAGTCAGGAGGTTGTATTATATGTAGAGGAGTCGTTTGTTATTTACATGTTTATTTTACATGTGATATTTTATTCAAGCTTTTAACAACAGAGACTAGTGGTTTGTTTTGGATATTTCCTTATGGTCTTGAAAACCCATTTCTCAAGTTGACATGCCTAGCGTATCGCATTCCAACCCTTTTTGTTTCTAAAACCTTAGTTTTTTCAAGAAGAAACTTTGTAATGCCATGCCATGCTAAATTGGAGATTTATTTTGAAGTTGAAGAGATCAGAACCCTTAAATGTCATCAGAAAAAAAGACAAGAAGTCTATATATAATAGATGTTAAAATCTTTATCTAGAGCTACCAAGTAAATACTAATCAGCCCTTCTATCTGATTTTAGGTCAGACATGGAAGAAGCTGATACCAACAAGACAAAAGTGTCAGACTCTGCATATTCAACAAGCTGTAATAGTAGATCACAAAGAAGGTATGTTTTAATTAAAAGTGAAAATTCATTTTCATTTTTTACAAAAGAGAGGCCCCTTATGTTATCCTTTTTTGTATAACAGCAGTGGCAGCTCAAAATCTCGAAACAGTGGATCTAGTAATAGCAGTGGCTATGGAGGACATGCTTCAACGTTGGGGAGTGTGTAAGTGCAGTTTTGCTTCTGTAAATTATTGTAAAATTGTATTTATATCGTTGTCTTGATGTTAATTTTTCTTCATACTAACAGCACCGAGTTCACACAACCCCCCTCGAAGAGAAGCAAAGATAAGAAAAAGAAAGGGTCAAGGAGTAGCTCATCTTTACCAGCCCCAACAATTGAAAGATTGAAGGAAGATGAGGAGGCATCTAGCAGTACTAAAGCACCAGAAATTCCTCCTCAAGAGGAGGAATCTGACAAAAATGGGGTAATTAAGTTTTTCAGAGATTTTTTTTTATCTGGATGAAAACTTTTACAATTTTTTGTATCTAAATCTTTTATTTTTTTCAATTGTACAGAACGCCTCTGGTCTGGGGCTGGGACCTGAGCTGGTATTTCATGGCATTGCATCTCCCCATGACAATGAAGCACTGCAGATGGCAGCTATCAACCAGACTCTCAGCTTTATCAAACAACTTAAGAGTTCAACTGAGGAGTTGAACATTCCCACAGGTACTTTTAAGCTTTAATATTTTCCCCTCTGTCCATGGTTTTATATCCTGCTTTTGTTTTTAATGGCACTTTATGGAACTATTTATGTAGAAACAGTTGAAGAAAGAGCTGAGCAACCAGAGGCACCTTCAACAACATTCACACCTGTACCAGAGAAAACCAGCCGCACTAAGGAAGAATTTACTGTGATAATTTCAATGACTGATGGCATTGTTAAGCATACCTCAAGTGGAATTTTAGATGTTCTTGGATTTCCTCATGATATGTGGGTTGGGCGTTCCATTACTGACTTTGTTCAAGTGAAAGATCGAGCTGCCTTTGCATCACACATCACATCAGGAGTGGCAAGTCCACTTACGCAAGTAGATAAAGGTTAGAAGTACTGAAATAAACCTTCTTAAAACATCTGTATTTTGGAAAATATTGTTCTAATTTTTCTTTTAAATCTCTTTTTTGGTGGAAAAGCAGACTGTGGACGAAGGTCACCATTTTTCTGTAGCCTCCGTTGCTACAGAGGTTTAAAGAAATGTGGGTTTGGCGTCAAGGATAAATCAGTTCATTACAGACCGTGCCAGCTCATGCTTGCTTTTAGAGAGCACTCTAATGGCTTTCCTCTGACAGAAGAAGGAACTTTTGACAGGAATGATGCAGGTTCATCTAGCAACAGTGCAGGGCGAGAACAACCTCGCATATACTTAGTTGTAACTGTCAATCCAATCAGCTCTGCTTACAAATGTGAGCTGATTTAAGTTATTCCTGATCCCTACAATGCAAACTGCAGGAAAACTGTAAAATTTGAATGTTTTTAATTATTTATTTTTATGAATTTTAGATGCTGATGAAACTCAAATTCTTCCCAAGTTTGGCACACGCCTCTTGGCATCTACTCATCTTAGTGATGTAGATCCAGAATGTGTGCCATACCTTGGCTTTTTACCTCAAGACATGCTTGGACGTTCAGTCCTTGAATTCTATCACCCTGAAGATATGCCTTTCATGAAGGATGTGTATGAAGCAGGTGAGCTAGTTGTTAGTTTGTACTTTATCTGTACTTTACTTATCTATCTAAATTTCTCCTTTCATATTTGACTAAATGTCATAAGTTTTGAACAAATCCCTCATAGTTATCAAAGAACAAGGATCACCATTTTTAAGCAAACCATATCGATTCCGGACACAGAACGGTGGTTATGTTTTGCTGGAAACAGAATGGTCGAGCTTTAGTAATCCTTGGTCAAGGAAGCTGGAATTTATCATAGCACAACATCGAGTTTTAAAGGTAATAGTTCTAATCTATTTTTCACTTTTTTTTTTTTTTTTTTTTAAGTTATTTGAATACCTTATCTAATCTAATGATCCATGAAATTTCATTTGCAGGGTCCACCAAATCCTGATGTATTTGCAGCTCCTCCGGAAGGAGATACCTCAGTACAAATGTCAGAGGAAGTTATAAAAGAGAGTAAAGTAATTCAGGAAGAGATTCAAAACATGTTAAATGAGGTGTGGTTTCTTTTCATTCATTGCTTCTTTTGTATTGTTGTTATCATCACTGTCATTCTTAGTAATCCTATCTATAATTCTAGGCTATGACAAGCACCACTGACAATTCCAAAAAACGGAATCTGTCCAGACATTGCAAAGTGCTCGCTTCATTTATGGATTCAATGATGGAGGAGAATAAAAAATCAGATTTACGCTTAGAAGTGCCTCCAGAAGAACAAAGCTTTTCAGTATGTTGGATGAACTTGAAATCGCCCTCCATTTTTTTACACACAATTCTGCAATTGTTTTCCCTTTTTTGCTTGGATAGGAACGAGATTCAGTCATGTTGGGAGAAATTTCTCCTCACCATGAATATTACGACAGCAAATCATCCTCTGAAACACCACCTAGTTATAACCAGCTGAACTACAATGACAACATACAGAGGTGGGTGGGATTGCCAACCAATATTGCATGATTAGCTATTTAGAGAGAATTTTGGTGTGAACTATGTTACCCTCTGTGGACAGCTGCTATACATTTCATTTGATTTCAAATCTGAGTACCATCAATAGGCTGCTCATACATGAACTGATGTTAGAGGTTTGAGATTGTTAGGGTTTCTCCTGCTGCTTTTAAGAAATTGTTTTTTATAGGAGCCATGTAAAATACAAGTTTTTTTAGTAGCTTTTTGGGGGGCATGGGAACAAGGATATGGGTGAGCGGGCATAGCTCCTGTCCAAAAGTCAATACTTGCTCTGCATTATCAAAGAAAATCAACTTTGACCTGCACATTAAACGTGGCAGAGTATTTCACATATGTTGGTTGCTTTACTTTTGTTCCTGGCAAGGTTTTTCGAGAGCAAACCAAAGACAACAAGGTCAGACGAATCAAATAAAGAGAAACCTGGATCACCAGGAAAAAATTCACCAGAACAAGACTCTAGCCTTGGCTCTGGAGACAGGTGAATGTTTTTTCATTAACTCTAGCTAGAATGTTAATCTGAACAATTATATGCTGAGTATTAAGTATTTTCAGTGGAAGTGGTGGAGGAAGTGGAGAAACAACTGGAAGCCATGACAGTGCCACATCATCATCCCACAACTCTTACCTTCAACCAATGCTTACAGAAGCTCTTCTTACAAGGTATGTTGCAGTTGATTTTATTATTTCTTGCTATCTGCATATCTTTTATTAAAATTTTAAAATTTGCTAGGCATAATGAGAATATGGAAAAGCGCCTTGTTCAAAGGCATCGGGAACAAAGAAGTAAAGGAGACAAACGTGACAAGTACCATAAAACAGTGGTAGGTTGATATTCTTTAAAAATAAAATTGGAAGGAGATAAGGGATATTTCTTATGAGGAACTTTTTTCAGCCTGGACCTCATGGACCACATGGTGTGAAACGCATAGGATCACAGTCTTGGGAGAATGACTCATTTAAGGGAAGTAAGCACTTGCATGTGGAAAACCAAGGTACAGCCCAACCAGGCCAACTCTCCAATGCTGGACCTTCAGTGCCGGTAACTGATGCTATTGTAACAAGTATCCCTACCGTTGTTGTAACAAGTTGTGCAACTACAACAACTGGAAATACCTCTACTACTACGGTACCACCCCCACTTACTACAAGCATTCCATCCATTTATCAGAACTCCTCAAGTTCAGTATGGCCTCCTTTCTCAGTAACAGTTACACCTCTTCCATCTTCACAGGTTGTTACACCTTTTAGGTAAGATTATATCTACACTCCAATTTTGCCTTTTCTTTCAAAGAAACTGATTAATAATATTTTGTTTTAATTATTTCAGTTCTTACCCACTAGTTGGGCCAGGCCCTGCTCATATGATGCCAATGTACTACATGGGCTTAGGGCCTCAAGAACATCCAGGCTCACCTCATCTAGGCCCTCGTAACCCTTTTCTTCCACCACCAGCATACATACCTACTGGGCCGAGTCCCCACCGTAAGTTAATTTGTCAAATTGTAGGTTACTATGCACGTTCTTGGGGAGCGATTAAAAATAACTCATTTTGAGATCCTCAAACATAGACTGCATCAGGCTCATAGCTTCATAGTTTCAAATGGCTTCATATACTTTTTTTTAATGCTTTGTACCTATGTTTTATTTTTATTTGGTTGCAGTTCAACTAGTTTACCAGCATCTCCCACAGTCTCTCCTATATTCCCCGATTTCCATGCTTCAACCTGCACCTACTATGCTGCCTACATCCCTGTTCCCACCTGGCGCATGCCTGCCAACTGAGCCTACGCAGTCCAATCAGATGCAAACCCAAGCTCAAGCCTCAACTCGCTCTGTTGTGGGACAACCATCCCAACTCGGTCAACAGCCTCAACCGTTACAGCCAAACCAACAGCAGCAGTCACAGCAACAACTACAACAGCAGCAGCCGACCCTACAACAACAAAGTCAGCAGCCCCCAAAGCCCACCAACACAGAGGTACAAATATTTTTGTAACTCTTTTAATATGTTTCATGGATAGGAAAGATTATTCTAAACCATTTTTTTCCCTTTTGTTTATTGGTATGTATTATTGTAATGCAATCAGTATACGTTATTTCAGAGCGGGAGCTGCGACATGCAATGTAAGTTTCAGCGTCCTCCTTCACAGGCCACCTCAGTTAAGGCAGAGCCAGGATCAGCACTTGGCAGTGTTGCATCTGCTTCTCGACGGGTAATGTCATTTTTACTATTTTCTGTTTTTAAAAAATATAGCTGTAAGCTACCTGTTTTAACTTTTCTTTTTTTTTCCTTTGCAGGCTTTGTCAGTTTCCTCTAACAAAAATAAATCTATCTCAATATGTGACAATTTAAGTCCGGATGAAGATAAGACTATGGAGGATAGTAATCAGTGCAGGTGTGTGATAAAGGAAATAGGGGTAAAAGACATCCTGGTTTTGAAATCTAAATACTCACTACATTGGCTGCTTGGTTGTTTGTTTCTTGTAGTGAACAGCGTGGTGATGAAGGTAGCTACTATTCATCTCTGTGCTCATATTTATGTACTGACAACTCTGATGCAAGTATGAGAAGTTGTAAAGATGCCCGACATGAAGAAGTAAGTTAATATTAACAGATTTCATTTGTCCTGGTCGTTGTATATTATTTTCTATATAATTTGGACTTTGGTGCCAAAATTTATGACAAACAATTGTAGTCACAATACAATAATCAATATAGCAGTTGGAAACCTAAACATCAGTTTGTCTCAATTTTTCAGGGGTGCAGTTGTTGGTCACAAAATGACAGTATAAGCAATGATAGTAATGCATTATCTAGGCCAAGACCAGTGAGATCTGTAAGTCCACCTCTGCTTTTAATATTATCTGTTCTCTTCAGTATTTCATTTGTTTATCATTACTCTGAACTTATAAAAACCTGTTTTTGTAGGGCCCTCCACCCTGGATGAAAGATGTTTCAATGACTCAAGATGTTATATTTGGCTATCAGCTGGACAAGAAGGAGTTAAACGACGTGCTCAACTCAGACTTGGTTGCACTTTCTAACATTGAGCAGCCATCTCTCGTGAATGAGCAACTTAATCAGCTTTACCAAGATCTTACCATTGAGGGAGCACCAGGCTGCTTAGCACTTGAAGAAGGGATTACCACTTCAAGTGGAAGCAGTAGTGAAGACCAATCAACTTCTGAACAAATTATCAAGGTGAGTTTTACCTCAGCTTATATATTTCTTTACAGTAGCCTTTCCAGTTTTGACAAAGAAATCTATTATTGATTTTTGTCTTTCAGACCAAAAAAAAGCGCCGTTCCATGGAATATGGGCGGTTGATTATGATATTTGAAGAAGATGCCCCTATGCCACCTCCCATGACTCCAGTTGCTACCACAGTCACTTGATATACTATAACTATAGGACAGTGCCATGGAGTAGTGACAGTGCCTTTTCATTCACCAGATGTGTCTTCACCCTCTGCCTGAAGAGCTAAAGAGTACAACAGGCTTTATTCGCATAAAATTAATTTATGTATTGTATTTAAATTTTGAGCCACTATGAATGAATATTCTTAAATAAATTGTGACTTCTGTTAAGTGTGACTTCTGTAAAGTATGACTTCTGTAAATTATATGACTTTTGTAAATTATGACTTGTGTCAAAGGTACCTAATACTTTATTGCCGTAACTTAAATGATAGAGAGAAATATGATCTACTAGCTAAATGAGTATGAATTTTAAGTGTAGTCAGCTGATGCAAACTTGTATGAACTTTCAGAGATCTGTATTTGTTAACACATTTTGTACTTTTCATTTTGTATCTAAGATTTTATTGACAATTGCAAGTGGATTTTGTGAAGGTTGATGTACTGCTTGTTGAATTTTGTGATTTTAATATTTATTTTGTGAAGCTGTAGTAAGTTTGTCCAGATTTGGCAAGTATATAAATTTTGCTCATTCCACTTTGTCACAAGGTTGACTAGCCCAGAGAACAGTCCAAAAAATGTTACCCAATTTTTTGAAGTTTTTAAAACTTTTTTCTGTCCCCCGGATAGGCCTCCCAAACAGTAGTGTATTTCCCACCAACCAATTTGTTACATTTGTACATTCAAAGAAGTCTATGTTAGTTTTGTTATCAGTATTTGTGTTTTATTTCATGTTAAATGTGTGTTAAGTATAAAGGAATGTGACATGTTGTTTGTGTGTGACGTACAAG